TGTAAAGCATGCTAAACAAAAACATATTTAATTGAAGGCGCAAGGCAAGCATCAACTGAATGTTTAAATTAATCAATTATCTTTGTTCATTATTTTATTATAAAATTGAATTTTATGAAAAGAAAAGTAAGCTGTAGATTCAATTTTGCCGGGAATTATTTAACAGATGCTATTTATTTTATGATTTTGATATAACCGTTAAGGTGCCCTAGAGTCTTGAAAGAGAAATTAAGACAATAGTTGACTGCGCTTTTTGTTATGCATGTGTAGTAATGTCGAAATATAAATATTATTGCAGATAATTGGAAAGATGTCCTTTATATTTGAATAATTTTGTTTCATTTGTTACTTTAAAATTAGAATTTCATCAGAAATATTTTGGTGAAAACAGTACATTTTGAAATGAAATGACCAAATGTCATTTTTATTACTGATTTTGGACAATTGCTATTCAATATTTATAATATTTTTAAAAGTTTAAAAAGCGAGAGGGTGAAAGTAGAAATACTCGGAAAATACACATCAATAGATTTGTTTAACTATCCATTTGATTATTCAATATTCATCAGATTTTCTAGGAATATATCTGTTTACATATATTACATAATAAATGTTGTTAATATGGTCAAGCAAGCCTATATACATGTGCGTATTTAACAATAAGAAATATCACGATGGCCTGTCAGGCTAGTATTTCTATAGTAATATCATGGTAATTTCAAATTATTTTTAAAAATAATACATGAACGTAATACGTTTTTCCTCTGGGACAAATACGTTCGTACATACATAAATTCATATTGAAATATCCTTACTAATTTGATGACGTTCAAAAACTTTTATCATATCTAACATTGTGTGTTCCCCTTTTTAGCTTTCTGACTAGTAAATTCTTGGATTCACAAAATTTACAAAATATGAATATGATCCATTTACTTTTAAGCCATATTGATAACTTAAATGGCTGACAAGTCATTCTAGTTATTTTCATGCGTGTGTTTGCTATTTATAATCCATTAAGAAATAAAAATGAAGACATCATTAACAATGAGTTTGCGTTTTTATTAATCTTGATACTTTTATGATAAAGGCACTATTGAAGCATGATTAATTGTTGAATGTTAAAAAAGGAAATGGTTTATTGTTTGATAGTCAACGGGAGTTACTGAACATTAAAAGTCCAGTTAAAATAACAAAATTGTGCTCGAATTTGAGACCTTTATTGATTATTTGGAAAACCATTTAAACATCAAACAAATGTATGAATAAAAGGATGCACTTGCGGATCTTCAATAACTTGCGAAAATGGCACAAAATGTCAGAACAAACGTACAAAAATTGCATTGGCGGTGTAAAACTAAAAGAATAGATGAAACACTGATCTTTTTTCAATTCATATGTCAGAGAACGGCAATATCCCTCTTGTACCGTTTCTTGTGGTTTTTATAACAAATTTCTGGTTATGTCACTTCTGTGAAACATTCCGTTTGTGAATTGAAAAAATAAACTAAATATTGCTCAAGACAGCAGGCCTCTGTTGTAAAAACTTGTTCAATCAAGGAAAAGAGAAATATTCCGTGACATAAAATGTTGACCAGACATATATAATTAAATTAAAAATGTTTAATTCTCTTTTTTCTGTTTGAATTTCTTTGGACGGAATTAATAATCTTTAAGCTTTTAATATGTCCAATTTATATATCAGGATTGGTTGTTTGGAGACACTCAGAGTCTGTAAATATCACGAAATTTGATTATCTTAATTTAGATCAATCATTAAAATAGGTAATAGACGAAGGAATCCCTAAATAATATCAAAAAGGATAAAACTAAGAATGTTGTTGGATCGGTTCGATTGGACCTATGAGTGGTAAGTTAAGTAATGTAAGTGCAAGCTGACATCCAGGAACCCTTAATATAGAGAGAAATAAAGAATCCCTAAAGAAAGCACAACAAGACAAAATTGAAAATTGTTGCAATCTCGGTTTGATTGAGCCTGTTCATGGATGGAAAGTGCAAGTTACCGTCCACGCCTCCTAACACTGGCTTAAGCAGAATTCAACATTTAATGGTAAAAATTTGAATTTAGAAACATCCGCAGATGTGTTCATACGGCGGTTATCATGGAGCCTTCAATGTGACACTTTCGTGCCATTCCATGAAAAGCGGCGAAACTCTAACTTAGACAAAACTCAATATTTAAACATGAACTTTGTAAAATTTTGAGTAAAGAAATATTCACAGATGTATTCATACAATGGGAAAAATGCTACTTCGATATGTTAGTGCTATATATGAACAATGGCAAAAAAACATTATAATAATTTAATACAATATATTCCTAGTTTTTCATCGTCCGATTTTGCCATATAAATGGTGTCAAATTAAGTTGATGTACGTCTATTTCTATAATTCTACTTATCATTAAAGATTATCTTAAGTGCATGCCTTTGCATGGTTGCTTAATGCACTCAGAATTAATATAAATATTCTCAGAATAAAAGGTTTTTCATCTTTCTTTCCAAGTTAAAAAAACACCTTTGATCTGTTTTTTTGTGTCAGTACCGTTAGATAAATAATGTCCTTCAAAAGAGACCCAATTCAAAGAAATTCCAGCATTTGCTCAGTAATTCATTTCAAATAAAAATAAATCACATTAAGCGTTCGAATATCCTTATACAAATGTATTAAAAAGTCATCATTTTTAACAATGTCATATAACACTTATGGTATTGCTAGACTCATAAATGTATAAAACACATATAATGATGAAATTCGAAATAAAAAGAGGCAGAACTTTTTCGAAATTTTAATATCACAATATATATAAAAAAAAAACCGAAATTCATTTACCTAGTTATTTGGAATTATGACCTTCACTTCAGGACATGATGTTAATTTATAGTGTCTATGTGATTCTGTAAGCAGAACGGAATGAGAATGTGAATATGAAGAGTTGTTTAATTAGTAATTGAAAGGAAGTTGATCGCCTGCAGGAAGTTTATCGTCTGCAAGTATAAGTAATCGATTCAAAAGTTATAAGAGTGTCTGTTGAGACATTTTGCTGTTAACATTGTTTCTTCATTAATAACATGTGGTTCATGATCAATTTAAATGCTCCTGATCTGTTTCATTGGCACTTACTGGCCTCTATTCACAATTGTGTTTGGGATATATTTTCTACACCTACAATCATTCATTATTTTACTTAAAGGACTCTTTAACAGCTCGTGAATTGTACATTTGTGCATTAGGAGGTATTTGCATTATACAAAATAAAGCTCTAGAAGTAAATATAAAACGCGGCAAAACTTTCCAAGACAAACATCATTGCATGCAGGCGTAAACGCACTCAAAACGTCTGTTCGCGGATTGACCCATAACTTTATATACAAATGCATGCTGAATAATCTTTAGTGTTGGTAATTATAGTTGGAGAAAAACCAAGAATGGTACACGACTTTGTTTGTCCATATTTATTGTAAAGCCGTATCTGTTTTATTTCTTTTCTGTGTTATTGTAGCTTCATTCCTCAGGAAATACCAATAGGTATGTGATGTTCGCAATGCAATTTTAATATTATCGTGAATCTGTCATGTGTCGCCATATCTCATCATTTCAATATTAATGAAGATCTATGGAACATTATTTATATCTGATTCAATGAAATAGTAGCTTATTTAAATGAAATAGTTTAACGTCAATATGCGAATGTAAATTGATTTGGAATAGCTTAAAAATATCCTTTTTTCTAACAACGATTTTTTGTCCATAATTCAAAAAGTATTCACTCCTGTAAAATATAATTAAAATAATAGTTAAGAGCTGATTGTCCAAAAATCACAAGTAATAATGAAATGATTTTGCATATAAGATGAAATTCAAGAATTTTAGATATTATATCATTTAAGTAAATATGTCTAAAACAGTGAATCTTTAATTTAAACTTAAATGGATAATTTTATGACAAAGGAATTGTATCAGTATGATTAATTGTTAAATGTGTAACTTATTTATTGTTTGATAGTAAATGGAAATTACTGATCATTAAACGTTAAAAATCCAGTGAAAAAAACAGAATTAAACTTAAATATGAGAACATTGTTCCATTCAAACATTCTAACTTCAAACACATGTCTGAATAAAAGCGTGTACCTTTGTGTCTCAAATAACTTGATAGAAGAAAATACAATGAAATAACAAGAATATAAAGGCACCGCTGGTGGAAAACTATATGAATGTTTGAAACATCATTCGTATGTCAAGAAACGGCAGTATCCGTTCTTTTTGCACTATTTCTTGTTTTTGAATGAACACGATGAAGCCATTTCTGGTAATGTTATAGCTGTGAAACAATTCCATTCGGGAAAAAAAGAAACAACTTCATATTGCAAAGATAGCAGACCTCTGATGTAAAAAAACCTTGTGTTATAAAGAAAACGAGAGATATTCCATGACATAAAATGCAGACCAGATATAGATAATTAAATTAGATATGCTTAATTTCTTTTTCTGTTTGAATTTCTTTGACGTGATTAATGTTCTTTAACATTCTTATTATGTCAATTTTATATAAGGATTGGTTGCAATATCACAACTTGTGCATAACACATTGTTTTTACTTTATAATACATTTAGAGTAAGTATCAGAACAAAATACGTTATTTTATAATCCTAAAGAACATACAAACAAATACAATAGAAATAAAACATAGAAAATAATATAATACTGTAGGCCCGGTTTGATTGAGCATGTTTGTATACTGACTAACATTTTGAACTTCTTCTTCTTCTTCTCGTTCACCGCTACAATCTCAGGCCGGCCACATAGATGAAGGTTGCTGTCTTCTGCAGTTCCTCCATTGCGCCGTGTAGTTTCGTTTGTATCCCGGTCTCCACTGGCAACACCGCTCTTCTCTCTTGTTCCAGGAGAGGACATTGTTGTAGGAGATGTTCAGCTGTTTGGTTGTCACGTCCATAGGAGCACTTGGGAGAGGCAGCTAGTTTAATTTTGTACATATGTTCAGCCTGTTATGACCTGTGCGGAGCCTAAAGATAGTTACTTGCTCCCTCCTGTCCAGGTAGTGGTAGTCATCCTTGTTTGACTGCCACCTCATTGCTGCTTTGATTGTTGTTGTCTTCTCCTTGTAGCTGATGTGGTTCATAGGCTGATCACCTTCCGCTCCTAGCTTTGCCAGTTCATCAGCCTTTTCATTTCCAGGGATGCCGCAATGTGCGGGGATCCACTGGAGTGCTATTTGTCTGGTTTGTGACATGCGAGATAGCACTTCTGATAGTTCAGGCAGCTGATGGTGTTCTAGGGCCTGTAGTATCGACAGAGCATCCGTTAATATGACGATCTATGGGCAGTCCTCTGGAGACTCTTCAATCACTTTCAGAGCTGTCATGATGGCTTCAAACTCTGCCTTGTAGCTGGTAAGTATTTCCCCGTTGCTACACTAATTGTGTCACTTCTACTATTGGTATGTTGGATGTAGATGCCAGCTCCCCCATCTTTTATAGCTGCTGTAGCTGAGCCATCTGTATAGATATGAGTCCATGACTCTTGGGGGTACTCATCAGCTATCATTGAGTGTGAGTGCTTTTTTGGTGACATCATCTTTTGTACTTGGATGGAGTAGTGGCACAGTCGTATTAATATGAGTGTTGGACAGTTCTTGAATCCATTGGATTGGCAGGTCAGATTTATCAATAGGTATAACAGAAGGTCCAAGTTTTTCAGCATAAGTTCTAGTCAGTTTCTTGGCCTCGTGTACAAAGCTATCTCTGAGCAGACGATTCTTTGTCAGTCCTTGTAACTTTTGGTTCATTGGGTGGTCTGGGAGGAACTCATTTTAGCTGGCTTGTACAAGTGCTTTGGCATCTCTTCTTTGACTGAGTGGTGGAGTGGTGGTAAGGTGAACTAACATCAATCACAAGTCGTGATATAGAAACGCTATGTGTAAAATAGAAATTTTCATAATCTAATATAATTGGGGAACTTACGGCAAACACTTTTAATATCGAATGTCATTTTGAAGTTTAATTGGGTACACTGTGTTACATAAGGTTCTACAGCAAACTGCATTATAGAGGCAATGATTCAAAATAAATACTTATTCTACCAATCAGTCAAGTATATTTTGGAAATCCAATTGCCAAATATTAACGGTACTTAAAGGCATGTTATAGCCAATCTTACCCTTTGAAGCGGCTAGTTTCAAAGCAATGTGTGCTAAATTGCGCTTTATAGAGGTAATAATTATAATTTCTAATGAGATGCTTTAATGCTTTAAGCAAAGTCCTACATCACTTTTGATTTTTATAACAGTCAATTATAATACCATTTACACATAAATTTTATGATAAGAATAATGACCTCTATTAAGGGATAGTTACTTATATATTAAATAGATATCAAAACATGAAATATTAAGTGACATTGCTAACGAGCTAGTCACAAGTGGTTAATGTCGGGAATTTCAATTCCGGTTTTTCGATCATCATTTTGGACAGTCACCGTATTATAGTTTACTGTTGGAAATAAAAAAAGAGTGTATGTTGTGTTAAGTGATATAAAATCGTTAAAGAAAAAATGATTCTCATAAAAAATATAAAGGAATTTCTTTATGTTATACAAAGAAAATATTTTTTTTATGTTAACAAAATATTTAGTAACTTTCAACATTATATTATGATATTAAGATGTCCGTCCACATTTGAAATATTTTAAGAAAAACTTTTTAACTTGACTGACTTGCTTGCCGATAGAAATCCTCAAATATACTGGAGGAAAGCGGGTGGATGACGTTCAATGCACCATGTACATGCAATTTTCATACTGGAACTCTTTATTTATTTTAAAACGCTTGTAATTTAGCTAGCACCGTTTTCTTAATTATATCTGAAATTTTCCAATTTAAGGTCTGTTTATTAACATTATGTTATAGTTATACCCAAACATCGCACAAAATATATAATATTATTCGCACAAAATAAATTATAGACCCTTAACTCTAGAAATTCGAGATTCCTCTATGATAGCACACGAAAACCACTAAAAAGTTGGTGTATAAAATGTTAACGCGATCAAAATGTTGTAATATTTGAACAAATGATAACTAAACGTTCTACCATAAAATTTATTTTAGAAGCCGGGCCTTTTTATTAAAGTTATTAAATTACATTCTCATAAAAATTCTCATTGAAAAAAAAACATATTTGGCGAAGAAAATATCGTTTATCTAGATTGTGGCGTTCACAATATAGAAAATGCAATAGCAGTGTTCTTTTAACTTTCGGTCAGTTTTTTGTTAATCTTATAAAAATGTTGTTAATAACTGCAAATAAACCACTGTTTCTATATGTATTTTGATTACGATTTTTAGCCGAGGCTTATATGTTTACGTTATTTATTGATGCAAAACTTGTAGCCATAGTGAATATTTTTACAATCTTGAATATTTCCAGGGAAAACTAATAGCTGTGCCGTGAATCGCATGAAATATTCATGAAAAAAATACTTGTCTGAACTAAACCCGGTAATGAAGGACAAAATGAACTTTCTGTATATTTTTCTTATTGCATTGACATTACTTTAGAAGGACAAAACGTTTTTCCAACATTACTTCTGTTTGCGTATTCTCTGGCAGAAAATAAAAAGAAAACAGACTTAACACAAACACAATGAATGTTACAATCAAAACGCGATCATATTCACAGACACTCAATTTATATCCATTGTTGGATTTTTTTTTTTAAAAATCACATTTTCAATTTAGGTTGGCGATTACAAAATACAGAAAAAGACATTATAAATGACATTTTCGATTATTTTGTGTACAAAAGTCACAAAGGCGTGCAAGATCCCTAATTGTTTTTAATTTAAAATTCATAGTTGTTTCTTTTAAAATAATGGCTATAGGTGTAATCGTTTGGAATTACAAATTCCAAGATTGACAAGTTCAGTTTATACAGTTGTTTTTAAGAATATATATACCTTACATTTTATTGATGCATAGTTGAAAAACATGCATGATAACTTGATAGTTTTCATAGTTCTCGGACATATGAAGTTCAAATGGAGATTGCTGTAGATATCGACGCATCCATCATGTGTAAATCCACCGTCACTGCTTTTTATATACAAATAAATATTTCCTCGAAAACGGCAAGCAGAAATGGAGATAATCTAAGGTGAAGGCTGTTACATTACCAATTTCTTATTTATACGCTTGAGCTACACATTTCACTAAAACCTTTTCTAGTTTCTTTACCTTTGTTTAGTTTGTAGTGCACAGAACGTACCCCCCCCCCACCGACACGATCAGTCACACCAATAGGTCATCCAGAAGGCACCGAACTAATAATTGGGAGAAGACACAAGGGCGGTGAAAGGAAGGGAGTATATAATATGAAAAAAGATCACCAAGGAAGGGCGACGTTCAATAAACGCTGCTCCTACACGACCCAGCAACAGTTTCAAAAGTTAAAAGCACGCCTTAATATTGTTCATTTGACAGCCTACTTTATGTGCATTTATGTGCATTTATTTTAATACATTGTAGCAAACATACAATTTTAAAGATTTTAAACTTTAATATTGTGTAATACACGTTTTTCATAATCAGCTTTAGTCAAGCACCATATAAAAGACAAACTTTTGAAATATATATTTCAAATCAACTGTACAGCAAAAAATATAATGTCCTTTTAACATATTTTGCAAAGGACAGGTTCACTTTTCAGAATGTTATTATTTTCTACTTCACAAAAAGCTTTTGCTACCGAACAAACCTTTGTTTCGATATTTATGATTTTCTTAAGTGCTTCTTTTAGCCAAGGCTAATAGGTTTACATGAATTATTGATGCAACAATTGTATCCGTAGTGAATTTCTTTACCATCTTCAATATTTCCAGGGAAAACTAAGAGGTGTGCTGTGAATCAAATGAAATATTCATTGGGTAAAAGTTTGCTTGTCTCAACTTTATACTCGGCAATGAATTACATTTGAAGTTCCTGTAATGTTTAACGTCTTGTAACATCAATGTTTTTGTTTTGTTTTTTTGTTTGTTTGTTTTTTTTGTTTTTTTTTTAGAAATAAAATATTTCTACGACGTTACCGCTCATTTAGGTTTAGAGACAAATGGTAAAACTATAGAATATACTTTGTACTTTTATACAAAAAACAACAACAACTCACCGTAGTTATATTCCTAAAAACCGTTATTGATGGTTTCATATTATCCTGAAAATAGATTTTCATGAGATATTGCAATTTAACTTTGAATTAGTTTATTGAAAGTAGAAGGAAGTAAAGATAAATGATCAAAAGCAACTACGATAGTCTTGTGTACAATAATCCCCAAAGCATACATAAAATACAAAATTATCAATCTACAATCATTAACTTATTTAACAATCGATAGACTAGATGACTTTGTAACTTTGACAAGTTTATAAGTTGTTTGAGAGATTAATATCAATATTGACATGGTATTGATATAAAGAGATGAAAATTGTAAAAGCTTGAGAGCTATCATCATTATCTGACATCTAAAGTTCAAATGTTGACGCTGTTAGATGATTTAGATATTGCCACACACACACAACTACAACAAACAACAAACACGTGAAGTGTCTTAGTAAATGATGTATAGAAATATGTAAAGTAGAAAAACACAGAATTAATCTACGTTGAAATTATCAAATTGAGCTTGTATCTTTCAAACTTTGAATTAAATACTGTCATGCGTTTTGTTGAAATATAGGAGTTTTCTTTACGAATAGCATATTTAAGAGACGATCAAACGATTGTAATCTATTTTAGGCCTTTGTTGAGTGTATTAATTTTTATTTCATTTATGTATGTTAGATGATGAAGACAAATCAATTTGTCATATCTTAAGATTGAGGGGATATTATTCACGTTTAATTAACGCATGACAGTCCTAAATTAAACAACAATATATTTTGTATTTGAATGAAAGGTTAGATGTGTTATGTCTTGAGCTTGCCACACGAAAACTAAGAGATACAAAATGCAATAGACAAAGCTAGAATGTTTGGAAAGTTTCATAACAAAAGCACATTGTTTGTGCTGAGAGTGATCATATCAACTTTCTTTTTAAAACAAATGGTCAAGTACTTAGCTGTATGATAGTGACTCCTTCTTTTTTGACACCTTTTTGAATTAAAGTTCCAACAAAAAGGCAGACGGCATATAAGCAAACGATATATTTTGCAGCAGGCAAACAACTTAGGCCTTTATCTGCATGCATAATTAAATTTGACGTATGAAGCCACTAATAACATTAAACTAACCTGAAATATGGCCAAGGTTTACGTAACATATTGTTACGTATCTTTTTTAATGCAAAACAACACATACATAACATTACATTATATCATTTATTTTGTTTTCAATGTTATTGTGTCGCTCGTGTTTGTTGTATGAATGTTTTTGTTGTTTTCGTATGTACATGTATATACAGCCCATACATAAAAAGTATTTCAGCAATCTGATAAATATTTGAGAACTGATTAAACTGTGTTGTATCTTGATATTTAAAGATCCTGTAACACAATTTTTATGGGTTTAAATCATAAGTATATGCTC